AAGTTCACTACACATTCTCCAAGATGATAAATGCATAGGCTTGCTCCAGTGTCGAGTCCATCGGTTAAATTTTGTTCGAATTTTGTACGCACACCTTCCCACCCAGGAGCTACATAGCCAAACACGTTGTTGTTGCTTGATATCGAAGACATTATTGACTAAATATACGCGTGTTACAACATGTCTTCTCTTTATACTGCCCGCATGTCAAGAATAGATACATAAATGTTTTATCTTTTCTCTCCTAATAAGGAAAGAGATGCGAACGTGTGCCTTGACTTCCTTTTTGGTCTAGTTTTGACTATCTAAGACGAGATATCATGAGAGATATTTTATATCGACACCTATTTCTTTGACTGAAAGGAAGGTCATGTTAAATAAAATGTGTTTGTATGTTTGCATGCACGTGTCGGCAAGCATTGATGTAATTTATAAAGTTTGACCAAAGATAATGGGGGTCGACGAATCCAAATATGTAATCAGTTTTTCAAAATTTTGAGTTTGAGTTTTTTATCGAGAAAAGACTTTTTAAAGAAAAAATGATTCTCTCTCAACTGAAAGGAAGATCACACAGAAAAAAAAAAGTTTGCATGTATGTATGTATGTAAATATGCTTGTTTGTAGTCAGATGTACAGTCACATGCCTGCATATATTTCTGAAATATTAGATAAACTATGTAAGATGGCTATGCTTTGAGGTGTACTACCAGCTACTCAGATTTGTTTTCTATTAGAGAACACTCTAACAGTATTTATTGCTATTTCATTTATTCTTTATCATATTTGTTGTGTGTATGTGTATGTATATCTCCGTTCTCTAGTATGCGTTATCCACCCTTGTAAATATAGGACAATTTTTTTCTTTTCGTTTCTTTTTCTTTTTCTTTTTTCTTCTCTCTTTTTTTCCTCTTTTCTCCTTTCCTTTTCGTCCTTAAGAATTTCAACAAATTCTCAATCTTTTTTCTTGTTCTAAATTTAAGTGCATTTTAAAAGAAGATCCCTGACATCACCTTCATTATTATATAGTCTAGTCTGAACCAGGACAACAATATCTACTATTCCCTATATTGGAGATGTATACATAGCTGAGAAATTTAAATAATAAACAAGTTGTTAAATAATTGGTTAACCAGACAAAAAAGAAATCTTCATATTTTATTAAATTTTGTTACAGATTAGGTCCTTTGTAACATTAGTGCCGTGACCCTACTCAATCGATTGAACACTAACAATCGGAAAAAAAAGAAAAACAGTTGAACTAATTCAACACAGAATTATATATCAGTGGTTGAAGTATTAATTTAATTTTTTTAAGAATTGGCCTCTAACTATAATCTTCAATCTCATTATTTTCCTACAGCTCAATCTTCTATTCAACAAATTAATTATCAACAAAATCAAATAACAACTACCATGACTGATGCATTAACCAGACCATTTGAAAACATCAAATCATTTGATAGTACTTTACAAGGTGATTTAAGAGATTGGTGCGATCGAGCTGAAATTATATTGAATGCATTTAATATCAATGATGATGATCGTTTAACTCGTGATGGTATTAATTTAGAAGATACTGCTTTCTATTGGTATCATGATAATCAAGGTCTTTAATTATTTAAAACTTTTTATAAAATAAACCACTATATAAAGGAAGAGAATCTCTTAAGGATATCCTCCCCTCTTTTTCGATCAAAAACTCGATTTCGACTTGGGCATAAGGTATGATAGCCTCAAGTGTTGTGTGAAATTAGAGACATCATTCAACTCTAAACACCTTACTATTACAGAGTTACTGAATTAAAGAAATTTTTTTTTCTTTTACTTAGAGTAACGCAAGACTACAATGTTCTCAATCGGGCCTGCTTACGACCTCCCTCTAACTTTGTCAGATCGAGCTGAAATTTTTACCACAGATACTTGGAAGTATTCTCCAGAGGTAGAATCAGCCGTTTCCGTTTTGGACCTTCTATAGGGTTGTGAACGCCAAGATCCGGATTTTGGATCCGGATCTTTCCATATTTCTCTCATGAAAAAAAAAAAGAAAGAGAGATTTTTAAAAAAGCTCAAAACCACCACTAAGATATAGTCTTAGGTATCTCCAAAAAAATTTTCAGCCCAATCGGATAAAATTTGATGGAGGTCGTAATGTGGACCTGTGGAAAACTAGGGTCTTCACAAACAAACCGTAAAAGCCCTTTTTAAAACTTTTTTCCTCGAACATGTGCAAGCTTATTTTAGGTGCTCTAACTGTGGTAAAAATCTCAGACGGATCGGTTGTACCCTCTTCGAGAACCAGAAATGGTCAAAAAAGAGGGGGATTACCCTTAAAATATGAAACCAATATGTTCTTCCTTAACCGATTTCAAACACGATAGTGTCAAGGCGCAGCTTTGTGTCTTTTTAATCAATATTTAGAATATTGTAATCAAAAAAAGTTCAATTCAAGTCAAAACTAATATGATTTTACGAATCAGCATAAAAAACTAAGTTAGTTCATGTGTCATTAAAAGAATATTTAGAGCATTTTCGCTTCAAAAAAGTTACCTTTGGTTCTCTTCTGAAATCAGACAAAAAAATGAACTCGATGAAAACCCAGCTGTTATTTTCTAGATACCAGCCATTTTGCCATATAATAACTTTAAACAACTTTCGAAATTCCTCTACAATGTTTCAATGGTGCGAAATATTGATTTCTTAGTAATTATATGTGTAATAAATAAGTACAGAACAACGAGAACAAGAACGAATACTGATGGTGAATAGGAGATTGTCCGAAAGCTCTATATTAGATAAATAATACATATAAAATTCTGATTGATATTAAAATTGAAAAATAAAACTATCTAAAACAATTATTCTTATAATATAACAATATAATACATATGCATACATCATTATTTTTCCCATTTCTCTTCTTTATTTATCCACATGATGAATTGATGCAATTCGTTGTTTCGTCTAGTTCATGAAGGGGATCACAGTCAATTTTTCGAAGATAGAAAAATGTTCTAAAAATTCTTTCAATGACACATAGATCGACTCAGCTGTTGTTTTGATTCGGAATATCATTTTAGTTTTGACTCAAATTGAATTATTTTTCGATGAAAACCATGCTTCGACAATAGTACGCTTAGAAATATTCTGAGTAGTCATAGTCTTTTGACTTTGGAAAATATACAGTTCTATAGCTTGCTAAAAGATTTATCAAATAACCAATACCAGAATATGAGTTATTTTGATTTCTAAATTAGAATGTTTGTTGAAAGATAATAGTGGATGAAAAATTCAGCAAACATGCGAATAGTGTCTACCAGTACATCTGATTTACATCTCGTTGAATAAAAAAAAAAACAATTGGTTATTTATATGTGATTAAAGCTTGATCAAGGAACTATCAAATTCATAACTTCAATACTATCTTGTCTAGTCTACTGATTCTGAAATTGAATCCATAATGATAGGATCAATTATTTAAAAAATGAATTTTCAAGCTTTTACCGTCTTATTCGTACCAATATTAAATGAAATTCAAAGGTATAAAGAAAGAACACTGATGTTTATTTTATTTCATGTAAAATTTTTCACTCTTAAGAAGAACGTTTTACGGTCGAAACGTTATTTATTGTACTATATATCTTGTATTTAATTAATTAAGGAAATGATTGAATTATTTTTAAATGATTCAAACGTAATAGATTACAGGCTCGAACTCTGATTCATAGATACAGCTGAAGTGTTCAAGTATACCAAAGAGAAGTTCATTGATTACTATTACACATGTACATATCTGCAAAAATGTCTAGCAACAGAGCATCAATTCTATCAGATACACTCGCTGTGAGTAAGTGGATGAGTCATTGACTGACAGTCTCATCTTCGACCTTGTATACAAAATTGAATTTGACATTCATGTTTTAGAGAAGTACCACTGAAACTTTTGTCAACGTTGTGCTTTAAATATGATCTCAATTCCCTTGATAGATAAAAACCAGTAAGAAGAGTTGTATTTGTCTTCTTTATCTTGATGATTGATGGTTCTGTTTACACAAAATTTTATCATATTTTTGGCCTATGCCAGTCAATCATCGACTTTGATGTACTATTTGGCAAAGTGGATAATAACAGTTACTGGATAAATAAATAGACAACTCGGCAGAAACGACAATATCGTCGGGAAAAGATGGTCTGCTATAAGCAACATATCTTTCTAATCATTATTCATCGAGTGTTATTTGACAATTTTCTTTGGTCTTCAGCGCCAAAAGAGTATGCTACTGTTATTAATTTTCTGCTTCGTTCCTTTTGCTCTTTGTCAAACAGGAGTAAAAAAATATTACATTTGTAAAGATTATTTTCATGGTTTGAAACCGGGTGAATTTACGGTTTACAGTACGACCGGTGAAACTACTTATTATAGAATCGAATCACACTATGGAATTTTACACTCACTCGAACTCGTTTCTTATCCGTCGAAAGTGGTTGTGGGTAAACTGAAGGCAAAATTAAAGTTGTTTCTTTATGAAGCCGAACTTAGCATTTTCAACATTCAATCTCAGCAGTGGATTGACGGAACAATCGGTGCAAACTTTCAATTAATGGAAAGCAGATTTACGATTCAATGGAATGGTCGACGTTTGTTCATGGTATCTGATGCATTTTCGCTGACAACACGTTTTTATGATGAAGAGAAACCGAATGTTATCATAGCTAAATTCACGAAACGATTCGAATCCTATTTCTTTGTCAATAAATTTGATATGGAAATATTCGTCAACGATTTACCGGATGCCATCTTTTTGTTGGGTCTCGCCGTCAAAGATCGCAATCGCCGGACACAGCGAAGAAATTAACATTTAAAATCATATTCAATTCGAATTAATGTATTATATTTGAACATTTTCCCATGACTGATCATCGCTTTGAGTATTTTATTTTATTTCTTTACGCAATGGCAATTCTATATTCAAAATCGAAAATATAGAAATTGTTTTCTTTTTCAGCTTGCACTTGACTAATACATAATTTCTGTGTATAGCAGTGTTTCTGTTATTATCAATCTCTCGTTCTTGACAAGTGACAATACTAGTGAATGGTATCTGCAATGTGCTACGTACAAATCTCATCACTAAATACTGTGATAGAAACGACAGAGTCACATAGACATCTAAACACTAGAATCTAATGTTGGTGGAAACACACAACTATTATTTTCGGTCACATTTTTGCTACAACGGACAATTTTTTTCGCTGATAACCAATGGTGCATAAATAATGAGACATCAAAGCCGTTTGACATCGACTAGTTCCTGTTTGTCTAATGGATGGACAGAAGTCAATCTGTGATTGAGATTTTGATAAGCCATTCGTTAGGTTACATTTTCATAATAGAACTGCGAATCGCGTGAAAGTGAAGTTTCCAAGTGGCTACAATATGGATGTCCGAAGGTAGACCACTCACTCTGGGTCAGTTGATCTTGGGTCGGTGTTTGCAATTAGTATTTTTAAACTCTATTTATGACGAAATTTTTCACTTAAAACCAATATCTATTCTGTCTTTGATTCATAGATTCGATGTGATAAGTCTCTATGCAAGCAGTTTATATAACTATTGATGACAAAGAAAAAAGTACATTTATTTGTATCAAGCGAACTCGATAGTGACTCCAACATGTTTAG